CCCAGCTCCCGTGTGCTCAGAGCTGTTCCCCTGCAGGCACCTACGTGGCCGAGGAGTGCACGGAGCAGAACGGCTCCGGCCGCTGCGTGCCCTGCGAGAAGGGGGAATTCATGGAGTACCCGAATGTTTTCCGCTATTGCCGCGACTGCTGGAAGTGCAGGGAAGGTATGAGAGGGGTGACGGCTCAAACTGGGTCTGGCTGAGCTCTCTGAGAGCCCAATGTCACCTGCGGTGTCCCCAGAGGGCGGTTGGGGCTGGAATTGTGCCAGACCACGCTCCTTGAGCAAAGCTCGGGGATGAAACCTCCACCAGGAGCGGGAGGAGGAGGATCCTGGTGGCTTTGGAAGCTGCTGGTGGAGGGTGGGAAAGGGAAAAGTTGGAAATCAACAGCGGGGAGCACCTCGGGCTCCTGGAGCTGCGGCTCTGCTGGGATCAGGGTGGAGGAGCTGGGATGGAGCCAGGGATGGAACTGGGATGGAGATGGGATGGGGTTGGGATGGAGCAGGGATGGGGTTGGGATGGAGGTGGGATGGAGCTAAGGATGGATTCAGGATGGAGCCGTGGATGGAGATGGGGTGGAGGCAGCATGGAGCCATGATGGAGCTGGGGATGGAGATGGGATGGACCTGGGATGGAGCTGGGGTGGAACTGAGGATGGAGATGGGGATGGAGCTGGGATGGATTGGGGATGGAAATGGGATGGAGCTGGGGATGGAGCAGGGGATGGAGCCAGGGTGGATTTGGGATGGAGCAGGGATGGAGCCGGGATGAGGCCGGGATGGAGTCGGGATGGAGCGGGGATGGAGCTGAGGATGGATTGGGGATGGAGATGGAGTGGAGCCAGGGATGGAGATGGGATGGAGCGGGGATGAATTCAGGATGGAGCCAGGATGGAGTTGGGGATGGAGCTGGGATGGAGATGGGATGGATTCGGGATGGAGCTGGGATGGAGCGGGGATGGAGCTGGGATGGAGCCAGGGTGGAGATGGGATGGAAATGGGGTAGAGCCAGGGTTGGAGCCGGGATGGATTGGGAGGGAGATGGGGATGGAACTGGGATGGAGATGGGGATGGAGCGGGGATGGAGATGGGATGGATTCAGGATGGAGCCGGGATGGAACCGAGGATGGAAACAGGATGGAGCCGTGTCCCCGCTCTGTCCCCCAGACCAGGTGGAGGTGAGTCCCTGCCAGGCCGTCAGGAACACGGTGTGCGCCTGCAGGAACGGCACCTTCTGCCCGCCCGACCACCCGTGCGAGATGTGCCAGAAGTGCCGGCCCAGGTGGGTGCGGGGACGCGGCAGCTCCAGCGGGGTCGGGGCCAGAGCTCTGGTGGGGTTGGGGCCGGAGCTCTGGTGGGGTCGGGGCTGTGGCTCTGGTGGGGTCGGGGTCGTGGCTCTGGTGGGGTCAGGGTCGTGGCTCCAGCGGGGTTGGGGCCGTGGCTCTGGCGGCGTCGGAGCTGTGACTTTGGTGGAGTCGGGGTCAGGGTCATGGCTCTGGTAGGGTTGGGGCTGGAGCTCCAGTAGGGTCAGGGTCAGGGTCGTGGCTCTGGTGGGGTCGGGGTCGTGGCTCCAGCAGGGTTGGGGCCGGAGCTCCAGTGGGGTCAGGGTCAGGGTCGTGGCTCTGGCGGGGTTGGGGTTGTGGCTCCATTGGGGTTGGGGCCATGGCTCCAGTGGGGTCTCTGGTGGGGTCAGGGTTGTGGCTCTGGTGGGGTCAGGGTCGTGGCTCTGATGGGGTTGGGATTGTGGCTCCAGTGGGTTCAGAGCTCCAGTGGGGTCGGGACCGGATCTCTGTTGGGATTGGGGCCATAACCCCATCTGAGCCCACCCCCTGTCCCCATCCCCAGGTGTCCCGAGGGCCAGGTGGTGCTGAAGCCCTGCACACCCCACAGTGACCTGCAGTGCGGCCCTGCCACGGCCACCAGCTCCCTCTGTGAGTGGGGGGCTGCGGGGGGAGGATGGGGGGGCCGAGGGGTGGGGGCTGCGGGTGGGGCTGACCCCGGAGCAGCCACCCACAGCTCCATCTCATCTCCCTCAGACCCCCAGATCCTCATCCCCGTCATCACCCTGGCCGTGGCCCTGCTCGGGTTCCTCATCTGGAGGTGCTACTGCCGATCCCCAGGTGGGTGCAGGGGACCCCCGGAGCCCCCACCCAGCCCGGGGGCTCTGCAGGGGTGTGGGGTGAGGGTCCTGCAGGGTGAAAAGGTGTGTGAGAGGGTCCTGGCAGGGCAAAGAGGGGTCACAGCGCTGTTTGTACCTTGCAGGGCACGCCAGACCCTCGGGCAGGAGGCCCTATGAAATGGTGGTGAGTTCCTGGGATGGCAGGGGGTGGCTCTGTTTGTGGGGTGGGGTGGGGTTCCCATGGCCTCTGCTCCCTCCTGGGGAGGAGCAGGGATGGGTC